ATTCAGGGTGCATTTCATATCATTGGCTCTCATCCGGTATTCCTGCTCTGGTACTGCTCGCAGGCGGCAGACTGCCTGAAAGTTCTCCCAGAAAGCGTTTCGATCCCTTACGGAAAGGGTATATTGGCGCAGCGACGCCATCGCCGGCACTCCCCGGCCGCGGGGGGCGCCCGCGCGTCCGCCCTGGGCTATGTGCGCGGCAGACGATCGGGCCAGGCGGCGCGGACGGAGAGGCAAGCGGGGAGGGGGGGCAGCAGAGAGGCCCAGGATACTTGCATGCGCTGTGATTCTGCCCACTACCAATTCCCAAGTACGCTGCATAAGGCATGTTTGCTTGCGCTACACTGGCCAAGGGGTGCACAAACTCTGCTACGTAGCTCGTGCTGCAACTGCTCAAACGAACAACACAAATCACGTGAACGATAAAGGGAACGCAGGCGGGAGGCAGGAGGCGCGAGCAAGGAGGAGGAGGAGGGAGGGGAGCGGGGGACGAAGGGACAAGGAGGAGGGGAGGAGGGGGGCACACTGGACTCTCATTCTCCCTTACGGCGACACGCTGGCTCGTGAACCCTGGATGCTACGAAGTGCAGTTGCGTGGGCTCTCACCGGACAGAGGTATAAGGTGGGTAGACAAAGCATGTCGAAGTAACAACGCGCGCTTGCGGACACAGGGCATAGCAAAACAGCTCGCTTGCTTGCATAGCGACAGCACCACACACGACAACCCACATGAGCGTACTTGCGCGCCTGCTTGCTTGCGACGCCGGGCCGAGACAAAAAGGGGCCAAGCTGAAAACAGCAACAAGTGCTCCCGACTTCCATAAACTACCCCTTGCTACCCAACCGCATTGACACACAAATGGCAGCCTGCAGATCGCCCATTCACACATTACAAGGCAAGGCACACCGGAGGGCTTTGCAACCCCGCCCAAAGCCAGAGAGCATGCAAGGAAGGCCACGGACAACGCTGGTCCCCCGCGGCTCGAGAGAGCCTCGGCGGCCAGCCTTCCCCGACAAAGCCAAAGATGGCAACATATGGGAGCCAGAGCCACGTAAGCTACACCCCTTCCCCAGACAGCCGCTCGCCGGGCGCGCTGCTGGACAACGGGCCAACCAGGAGGCAGCCAGAGCAGACAAGAAAAGCGGGAGCGGCGCGAGCGATGGCGGCACTGGCGGCGTTGGCCGCACATGGCCGGCGCGCCACGCCCGCCCCGCCGGGACGACCAGGGGCGCCCCACGACATACGGCGAGGCCCCTCTGCTCTTCTTGAGCCAAAATGGCTTGAGCCAAAATGGCTTGAGCCGTCGCGCGCAAGGAGGGCACGGTGCTGAACCGTGGCCTGACACGCTACCAGGGGATGGTCGACTGCTACATTCGACGCTCCGCATGCCCCGCACCGCGAGAGCGTGGCTGGCAGCCCACCCTGGCCAAGCACGGCAAGGGGCCAGCAGCCCGTCATGCGTATGACGGCCCACAACCGGTAATGCTTCCAAAAGTTTGGAGACGACTCCCAGCCCAGAAGATTCCAGTCAGGGAGGGACGGGCCCGGGCAAAGCTCAGCGAAGGAACGGCGCAACGCCGGGAGAACACATGACGCTGCCTTCCTGAATGCTTGCCGGTCATACTCCAACAGCGCTGGGCGCACGACCTGCCAGCGGTACCACTCCAGGAGGGCCCTGCGCCTCGCTGGATGGGCGCGCGCAGCCTCCAACTGCTCCCCAGCGCATGCCGGGTGTCGGTCCAGTTGCACTGGCGGCGACGGAAGGCGGCCAGCGAGCGCAGCTACCGCAGTAACCCAAGAGGGGGCGTGCAGGCACCGGGATGCCTGCCAGGCTCGGGACGCCGGGTGGTCGAGCGGGAGGACTGCGAGCCTGGCTCGCGCTAGCAAGGCACGCTCAAGAAACTTCGTGCCCAGCCTCAAAGGCCACCCGCATTGGGCCACGACCACGCTGTGACGCACGGGCGGGCCAGCATTGCAGCCCAGCAGCTTGCGGCCCCACTCTACCTGTAAGCGGTTGAGGGCCGCTTCAGCCCCCTCGGCTAGGGCCAACAACGGGGAAGCGTATAGGATTACCGACTCAATGCGGGGAGGGACTTGAGCTGCGGCAACTGGGATGGAGAAGCCCCCGCACTCCGCCGCCTGCAAAAGTTCGTCAAACAGCGACCTGCCCCTCGCGAGCGTACTGTGCAGCAACGGCAGAAACGTGAGGCCCGAGTCCACTAGAACTCCTAGAAGCCCTTTCGCGCGCACCACAGGGGCTCCAGCTAGCAAGGGCGGGGGGGCGTCCAGAAGGGGCAGGACTGCCGTCTTCCCCCTATCATAGTTGAAGCGGGCCCTCACGCGCCGTGCGTATCGGCTGCACGCCGACCACTCTTCCTCCGACAGAACGGCCCTAACGGCCCCCTCTGACGGGCAGGGCGTTGTGATGTCATCCACGAATTGCGGTGACTCCACGTGGTAAGCCCCCAAACGCTCTGTCACGGCAACCCGATCAGCCTGCGACGACAGCGCGCTGAGGACGCCGCGCAGGAAGCGCCTCGCCTGGGGCCACGGCGACTCCTCAGCCGCCGCCAAAAGCGACACCTCCTGCACGACCCCGTCAAGCTGCAGCTCCCCCCGCGGCGGCTCAACGCATTGCGCCGGCGGCGTGACTTCCTCCGCGTCAAGGAGCGCTGCCCTAGCAAATGGAGGCACAATCGTGCTGCACCCCTCCGGGAGCACTTTTGCGATGTCATCCGCAAGCCCACGGAGCTGGGTGTTAAAAGCGTGCACAGAAAACCGCCTGCCCTGAGCTGTACCGCGCGAAAGCATAAAAACGGGGCTCAGCAGCCCATGCAAAGACAGGCACTGATGGTCTTGCGCCAACACGTCGTCCAAAATGAGCCAATCAGGCCCGCGGACTCCGGCGTTGTACACGCCCACCAACATGGCGTGGCGGGACGCCACGTCGAAAGCCCACTTGCCATCTGCTAGAGCCCACCAAGTGTGGAGGCCCTGCGCATGCCGCAGCTGGGCGTGCACGACGAGGCCGATTACTAGGGTGAGGGCGTCGCCGACTCCCCCCTGCTGGCAAGGCCCACAATACGCCTCCAGCGCACCGCTATTTCGGGCTATCCAGAGAGCGTCTTGTACCGATGCCATCTCCGTTGCAATGGAAATTGGCCGCAGGGCGGAGAGTGCGCGCACTGTGGTTGGGCCGCACTTACGCAATGGGGTGATCTGCCTGAGTGACCAGATTTTCGCGGTCACGCCGGCGGCGCGAGCGAGGTTCACTAGGGCCTTGGTCAGCCGTACCCCCGCTGGTGACTCTGCGCGCAAGGCGGCGTAACACCCATGAATTGTGCGTTTGCCTGGCTTGAGAGCGCTCAACACAGCATGCACCTCGTCATCCGTGTAAGGTGGAGCTCGGGCTGGTGCGCCTTCGAGGGCACCCGCGCTGCGGATCAAAGAAACCTGCCGTGCCATGGCCTCCTCGGCCCCCGGATCCTGCTCAAAGTCATTGCGATCGCGTGCAAACAGATCCTGCCTGACAGCCTCAACCATCGCACTGGGCGTAAGCGCGGCCCCCGTGGACGGGTCCGACAGCCTCACCTCAAAACGGGTGCGCACCTGGAAGAAGCTCGACATGAACCTCTCCGCGGCCCCGGGGTTGGCCTCGCGCAAATGCAAATAGCGGTGGACGGCTCTCCTACGCTCCCCCCACGCTGCGCGCGCAACTTCAAGCTTAAACTCTTGATGCGAGGTGAAACACGCTGGGTTCAGCAACCTACGCGCAGTGGTCTACGAGAGGCGACGCTTGCCCCCTATCACCTTGGTGGCACCCGCTGCGTGTCCCATCATGGTGTAGGCGGCATCGCGAGCCCAAGCCGCAACATTAACCACGGCGCGCCTTTGCACTCTGCTGGCCCTGCCTCCGAACCACGGTGGCTGAAGCCAAGGGGCGCATGTAATTGCTTCCACGCTCTCGCTCAGCGCACTGAGGGTGCCGGAGATTTCCCTCAGGCCCTCGTCCCACCTGGGTCCGGACGTCCAGGCGACCCTCCCGTAGCCCGCCGCCCACGGGGCCGTGAACTGGCAGGGCACCTCTGCCATGACGAGTCGGTGGTCGGAGAGCGCAATAAAATCCGGCAGGACCTTGACAGGAAGGGGCGAATCTCTCATGCCTATGAAAAGGTCGATGCAGGTGCCAGACACATGCGTTGGCGCGGGGGGGTTAAAAGCCCCAAGCCCTGCAGCCACAAGCCACTGTTGGATCTCTCTGTCTGCAGGGGATTGCCTGCAGTGCGCGCAGCTACAAGGCTCCACATGGTCAGCAAGATAGTCCAAATGGACATTTGCATCTCCGCCTAAAATCAAGCGCGCCCGCGGGTACCGATGACGACATAAAGCCGCATGCGCTACAATGGACTTCCAGGTGTCTGTGTCCCCGCCGTGCTTCGGGTAGAACGCGCAAAGGATGGCAGCAGGACTGGGCGCGGCCCCTCCGCCCCAAACCTCAAACCACTGCTCCCGGTTTGAAGAAAAATCCGGCACCGGGCGCAGCATGTGTTCTACCTCGGGGCGGAAAAAGATGCCTACTGAATCCCACGACCCCGAGCGCGCCCCATCCCAGCAATATGGGAAACCTTGGGGAAGCGTTGCGCCCTCGGGAAACCGCGCCCCCGGGAGGATGCAGATGTCAACCGACTGAGCGTCCAGGGCAAAAGCGACTGCCTCGAGACGCCATTCCAGAAGCTGGTCGGCGCCTAACTGGAGAAAACCGCACCGGCCCGGGTTCAGAGTGCCAAGACGAAGGACGGAGCGGGCGGGGGGGACACAGGAGGCCTCACGCTCTGGGCCTACCTCCTCGACAGGCGGAGGTCCGGCAAATGGCGAACCTACCGCTGCGGCATGCTGTCCCAATGCACGCAAGGGCGGAACGAGGATTCGCCGCAAGATATAAGCCACTTCATCCGCAAAGGCCCAAAGCGCTCGTAGCGCGGACCCCCCTTCCTGCAGCATGTGGTCAGGGCGCGGCGGCAAGAGCTCCAAGAGTGCCAGGGCATCGCGCAGGGCCGCCGCGGCCTCCAGCCTGCGGGGGCTTCGCGCCAGCCACGCCTGGCAGAAGGCGCGAAAAGGGCTCAACTGCCGCTGGGTTTCTCCCCGCTGGTCCCGCCGCACGCAGCTGGTAGCCTCAGTCGCCATCGCTCGGCCCACGACGCGCGGCCGGGCAGCTCCCCCCCCCGTTTCTCAGAGAGCGGCTGCTTGAGCCAAAATTGGCTGGGCAGATTTCGATACTCACCTGATCGCTTTCGTGTGTTCCAGCATTTGCGTGTCGCGCCCTCAGCGCGCGTTGCCTTCGTCGCCTTTCCCGAGCCCCCCGGCCCCTTGCTTCCTTTCCTTTCAAGTCTCGCGCATGGGTGCAGGCGGGGGGCTTCCATTAGTTCCCCCGCCGAGCACAGCAATCGAGGATGCATCGCCCGTTCAGGGCTCATGGAGACATCATTGCCGGGGCCCTGCGGCCGACCCCCACTTTCACCCTCCAAGTGTGGGGCGGGGACACGCCCCCAAGGAACGGAGAGTTTTCGGCCGAAGCCAGGCAAACCCCAAACCTCTCCCGAGGCCTCCCCGCCGCTGCCCGGCGGCGCGCCGCTCTCAGGGCCCAGCCCGTCGCCGCCAGCCGCCTGCCGCCTGGGCGGCTGCCGCGGCAGCAGCCGTGTTTTCGGCCGCCGCCGCCGCCGCCGTCGCTGGCTGCCGTCCGCGGCGCGTCGGGCCCGCAGCTGCCAGGCCCTCTTGCCAGCTGCGCCGGGCTCGGCCGCCAGCGCTTGCAGCTGCCTCCCCCGGTGGCGCACCGGCTTGTGCAGCAAGCCCACAGGAGCAACGCGGCAATATTTTCGACAACAAGAAGCCGTACGACTCCCAACGGTGGCGCCACAAGCAGCAGCACAGCGACGACGACGACCGAGAGATGGTGCGGGCGGGGGTCGGCGAGGGCGCGCCGCTCGTGACCAGAGCGCACTTTCGCCACGGGCGCCGCGAGAGCAGGCAGCACCGCAGCGACCAGAGCGACAGCAGCCAGCACCCAACTGCGGCCACAGGCGGAGGAAAACTACGATGGCGACCAAGACAGCAACGAGCAGCACCACGACGGCGACCAGCAGCACCAGCAGCACCGCCACAGCCACGACGGCGCAAAACAACGGCAGCAGCACCACCGCCATGACAGCCACCAGCAGCACCACCGGCACCACGAGCACCACCCAGCGCTGCACTGACCCAGACTCCCGGATTGACTTCGAGATCTCACGCGCTGTACGGCTACCGCGGACGGCGCGTGGGTGAGGCGAGCCACCCAGGGCCACCGCACAACGTCGCTGCCCCAGCCACGACGCCGCGCGGACGCTCGCAAGCGGACTTGCCCGAGCCAGCGGGCGAGGTTTCGGGCGAATCCGCGCCCCGGTCGGCGGAAGCCGAGACTCCCCCTCGAGAGCTCTTCGGTTCGCCGGGCCGGTCTCTGTCGCCGCTGCCTCCCGGACAGAGCCACTTTAGCGCCGTGTTCGGACAGGCGCCTGCGGCCGGATGGGACTTCTCTGGGCTGTTCGCGCCGCCGCGGGAGACAGCCGAACGCGCGGCGGCCGAGGAGCAGCAACAGCCGCAGCAACCACAGCAGGGGCCGGACCCCCAGGAGCTGGAGCAGCCAGAGGCCAGCGAGGTTTGCTACATGCGCCAGGAGCCGCTCGACGACTCGAGGGTGCAATGGCCCGACTGCGGCCACGTCCCGCACTGCTTCCACGCAGCCTGCCTGGCCCGGTTTCGCCCTCTCCGCCGCGGACTCGCACACCTGCGGAACTCAGGCGGCGATTCCAGCCGGGTAGAGGGCGCAGCGTGCCCGCTCTGCAACCACAGGTGGGGCGACGGCCCGAACTCCTTGCCGCGCGGCTCGCGGAGCTGGCGGGCCACCTTGGGCGCGGCGGGGGGCTTCCTTTCCGAGGGTGCCGCTGCCTGCCTTGCCGGAGAGTTGCAGGCGACCCGCCGAGGAGCGGGCCAGCCAGTACCGAGGAGGGCCCCTCGTGCTGCCGGAGGGGCCAGCACCGCACGCGATCGCCATGCGCCCGCGCCACCCGGAGCGACCCTTGCGATGGCGGCACTCGCGTGGGCCAGATGGGCTGACTGGCAGCTGGGACTGCGCCGCCTGCGATGTCGCCCCGCTCGGTAGCGAGGTCCCGCCGCCGCTGGGCGAGAGGCCGCCGCAGTGCCCTTGCGGCCAGCCAGGGCAGGTCGAGTGGGTCGCCCGGGCCAGCGGGGACGCCGGAGGGCCTTGGAGGTGGCAGGGAGACTGGCTCTGCGAAAGCTGCGCCGCCACAGCGCTGCCCGAGCCAGAGGCCGCGCAGCCGGAACGGCCGCCAGAGACAGGAGCAGGAGGCGGGAGCCCGGACCCACCGGCGGCGGACGGCCCACGAACCCAGTTCAGCGGCTGGTCGCCTCCACGACACGCTGCAGAGACCAGCCGCTACCTTAACTCCTGGATGTACGTGCCGCTCCTCCTGGGCGCCGCGGGCCAGCTTGACGGGCAGGAAGCCGCCGCGTGGCGACAGCACCCTGCCGCAGCACACTGGTGGGAGAACGCCGCGGCGTTCCTCCGAGAGAGGCCGCGCGCCGACGTGTCCGCCTTCCGCGCGGCGGGCCCCCTGCTGCCGCAGGCTCTCGGAGACGGGCTGCACGGGGACCAACTGGGGCTGCCAGCGGTGGTAGGGCTCCTTGCCGACGACAGAGGATACGTGCAGCCGATCGCCCAGGACATCGTGATGCAGATCTTCGGGGGGGTGGACTTCATCCGCGCTGTGGAGGTGCAGGCTGACGCCTAAAGGGCATGGCTTGCGCGCGGGCTGCCTCCAAGACCCGACCCCGCAGCAGGGCCCACCAGACGCGCGCGGAAGAGGCGCCGAGGAGGAGCCGCAGCCAGCGCCCGCGGCGGCGGAGGGAGAGGGAGGCGCCGCACCAGGCAGAGGAGGGAGAGGCGCAAGAGGAGACAGAGGACGAAGAGGCGCTGGAGGAGGCAGTGGGGGCAGAGGCGCCCGAGGAGGCAGAGGGCGAGCAGGCGGCATAGGAGACCCGAGCGGCGACGACGACAATGATGACGACGACGACGACGACGACGACGACGACGACGACGACGAAACGACGACGACGACGACGACGACGACGACGACGACGACGACGACGACGACGACGACGACGACGACGACGACGACGACGACGACGACGACGACGACGACGACGACGACGACGACGACGACGACGACGACGACGACGACGACGACGACGACGAGAGCAGCGAGAAAGAGGGCAGCCACAGCCAGAGCGACAGCGCCTCCGACAGCGCTGGCCCCGCGCCGCCCTGCGCCAGCGCCGCCGCCTGCGCCAGCGCCGCCGCGCAGTGGCGGAGGCGGGCGACGAAACCGGCGCCCGGCGCAGTCTGCCTTCCCCGACGCCGCCTGGGCGCTTCTTGACGCAGTGGACTTGGAGGCCGAACTGCGCCGGCGGGTGCCGTGCATCCGGGCGCCGCCGGCTTTCCTCCGCGGCCGCCTTCGCCAACTCTACCACACGGTCCTCGAGGAGGTCCTGCGCGCAGACGCCCTTCCTGGCGACGCCAACGGGCTGCAGAATGTGAGGGCTTGGGAGCTCCTGGTTCTCATCTGGCGCATGCTGCTGCGACGGACCGCGAGCGCTGGGGCGCCAGGGCGGCGAGAGCTCGAAGCGCGACTGGAGCAGTTCGAGGACGGCTCCTGGGAAGCGCTGCTGGCCCCAAGCCTGCCAGGGCAGCGGCCTCCGGGAGGAGCGCGCGGCGCGGGCGACGCCGAGGCGAGGCGCCTCCTGGAAGACGCGGTGGCGCTGGTCAGAGCAGGAGGCCTCAGCAAGGCTCGGCAGCTGCTCGCCTCGCGCGGGCTGGCGCCGGGCACGGCGGAGACTTTGGCAGAACTGCGGGACCCCGCCCGGCGACCGCCGAGGCCCGCTGCCGACTTGCCGCCTGCCGCCCGAGCCTTCCAGCCGGCTCGGCCCGTCGAGCTCGACCGCCGCATCTGGACCGACTGCGTCCGCTCCGCCCCGAAAGGGTCTTCCAGCTCGCTGAGCGGAGCCAGCTTTGAATTGCTCAAGCTGGCCGTGGACGAAGACGCGAGACGCTCGAGCTGCAAGCTGCCGTGGCGGAGCGCTACGCGCGGGCCGAGGTCCCAGCGAGCGTTGCCCGCGCCCTGGGCGCAGGCCGCATGACGGCGCTGCTGGAGGACAACGGCCGCGCGCGAGGCATTGTTGCAGGCGACGCCTTCCGCCGGCTCGTGGGCACGGCCCTCTTCCGGCAGTGTGGGTCCGAGATGGACGACGCCTGCGCGCCGTTCCAGTACGCGCTTTCGACGAGAGCGGGCACAGACAGCGCCGCCTACTTCCTCCGAGCGGCCACGGACTCCGACCCCGCGGCGACCATCGTCAGCATCGACGGCATTGGGGCCTTCGACCACGTGCGCCGCGACCGCATGATCGAGAAGCTCTTCTCGTTGCCGGAGGCCCCCGCCATGGTCCCATTCGTCCTGCTCTCCTACGGCCAGCCGTCGACGTACCTCTGGACAGACGATGCAGGAGTCGCGCACGAGGTGAGGCAGGGAGAAATCGGAGAGCAAGGCGACCCGCTCATGCCGGCGCTGTACTCCCTGGCTCAGCATGGCGCCCTGGAGAAAGCCCGCGCGCAGCTTCAGCCGGGCGAGACGCTGCTCGCCTACTTGGACGACGTCTACATTGTCTGCAGACCAGAGCGCGCCACAGAGGCTTTCCGCGTGGTTACCGCCGCCATGCGCGAGTGGGCAGGGATCGAGGCGAACCTCGGCAAGTGCCGCATGTGGAACCGGGGTGGCTTCGAACCAGCAGGGCATTTGTCGTTGGGCACAGACGTGTGGGTTGGCGGCGCCGGCACGCCTGAGGAGCACCGCGGCTCATGGTACTTGGCACGCCCCTGGGCACCGCGGCGTTCGCGGCCCGGCTGACGCAGCAGAGGACGGACGAGGAGCGCAGCTTCCTACAAGAACTCCCCAACCTGCCAGACCTTCAGTGCGCTTGGGCGCTCCTGCTGTACTGCGCGGTGCCAAGGTGCAACCACGTCCTGCGCGCGCTGCCTCCGACGCTGTCGCGGTCTTACGCCGCGGCCCACGACCGCGGGCTGTAGGAGGCGCTACACGACCTCCTCGACTTCGACCCCGCGCCAGCTGAAGCAGAGAGGCTCTCCCGAGTGAGCTCGCTGCCGCTCGGCCTCGGAGGCCTTGGACTCAGGTCAGCCGCGCGCACGGCCGAGTGCGCGTATTGGCCGTCTTGGGCGGACGCGCTCCCCATGTTGCGACAAAGAAACCCTACAGCAGCAACGGAGCTCACCGCCGCCCTCCGCGCCGGGACAGGCGCCGCAGCCTCGTGCCTCCAGGAAGCTGAGCGCGCGAGGGCTCCCGCCGCCCGCGACGGCTTTGCGACGTGCCCAACTTGGCAGGAGGTCTGGGACGGCGCGCGCCCTGAACAGACAGAGCCAGAGCCGGGCGAGTGGAAGCACGGATGGCAGTACCACGCCTCGGCAGCCCGAGAGCGGCGCTACAGGGAGGAGGTCGTTCTCCCGAGCCTCACGGACGACCAGCAGTGGATGCTCGACTCGCAGGGAGGCCGCTGCGGCGGACGGCACCTGGCCCTGATCCCCTCGACGCCAGAAAGCACGTTCACGCCAGAGCGCCTCCGGGCACTGCTCCAGAGACGGCTCCGCTTACCGCTGGACGCCACGGCAAGCAGGTGCAACGGGCGCTCCTGCCAGGCCCACTTGGGCGAGAGAGGCGACCACAGAGCAGCTTGCCCCCGCAGCGGACGCCTGCTGAAGCGCGGCGATCCCATCGAGCGGATGTGGGCCTGGTTGTGCCGGGAGGCAGGAGGCCGTGTCCGCACCGACGTGCTCCTGCGCGACATGAACCTCCCGGGCATTGCCGCCAACGACGGGCGCCGCATCGAGGTGGTGGCCAACGGCCTCCCTGCCTACCACGGCAGGCAGCTCGCCATCGACGCCTGCATCGTGTCCCCGCTGAGGGCCACGGGCAGGCCGATTGCGCGGAGGCTCCGCCCAGGACTCGCGCTGAAACGGGCGAGGCGCCGCAAGCAAACGACTTACCCTGAGCTGGTGGGCTCGCGGCGGGGCGACCTGCTCGTAGCCCGAGCAGAGACGGGCGGCCGCTGGGACGAGGAGGCGTACGAGCTCTTCGTTACCCTGGCCCGCGCCCGGGCGAGGAGCGCGCCGGCGGCGCTGCGAGGATCGCTTGCGACCGCGCTGCTGCACATTTTTGTCATTTCATTTCATACGCAGCGACAGCGTCGGGCCGGCCGCGCGCGCTGGGCGCGCGCCCGGGCCCTCAGCCCCCGCAGCGCAAGCGACCTACCTCTCCGCGGGGGGGGGGGCTGGGGAGCGCCAGGAGCGCCTGCGCGGGCCGCCTCCCGTTTGGTAGAGGTCTTTCACTCCCCTCGTGGAGGCGGCCCGAGGGCATCGTCGTCATAGCGAACGGTGGCAAGCAAAATCATCGTCATCGGGGCCAGTCGTGGCAAGTCGTGGCAAACAAGGTCGTCATCATCGTCGTCGACACCCTCTCCCCGCACGCTATGCCGCGCGGCGCCGTGGCGGACAGCGGGCATGGCGCCACATGGGAGCAGCTGAGCAAGTAGCCAGTCATCGGGGCAAGTCATTGCTATCACAATTGGTCCCTAAGCCCTCTCTCCGCACACCTTGCCGCGGGACGCAGTGGCGGACAGCGGGCCCTGCTCTACACGTGCAAGAGAGGGGATGCGCGGGGGCGAAGCCTCCTGGCCCCCCCACGTCCACGGGAGCAGCGGGGGCTGCGGCACAAACGACACCGACGACGCGGTCACCCGAGACGGCAGGGGCGCGACACAGCAACGCGGCCCGGACAGGCGGCACCGCCCCGCAACGGGGAAGCACGGTCATCTTCGGAGGCCCCAGGGCAGGGCACATGCCACATGCGCAAACGAGGCTACCCCCGGGGCCCATGCGACCGGGATCCCCAATCGACGCTGGGAGCAGCTAGGGCTGCATTACCACAGTGAGGAAAGGTGGTGACGCGCTCGAGGGATTCTCACGCGCGCTGCATACGACCGTGGGTCTGTCCGATTCGCCACGCAGCTGACAGTGCAGGGGAGCAATTAGAGCATGATGGTGCAGTCGCGCTTGGCAATGCTCCCGGAGGCGCGCGTTCATCCCAAACGACGCCGCCGCCGCCGCCAACGCCCCCGCCCGTCGCCGCCCGCCGCCGCCGCCGCCGCCGCCGACGACGACGACGACGACGACGACGACGACGACGACGACGACGACGGAAGGACGTCCGGCTGCTGGCAGCAACCCCATACACTGCCACAGGCCGGCCCCGGAGGTTGGCGAAATTCCTAACCTCCGTCCCCAGACGGCTCCGGAGGACGGCAACTTTGGCAACCTCCGGCGGCGGAGGTTGGCGAAATTCCTAACCTCCGGCCCCAGGCGGCCCCGGAGGACGGCAACTTCGTCAGCCTCCGGCGGCGGAGGTCGGCGAGCCCCCCACCCTCCGGGGGGGGCAGCATACCTCTCCACACCTACGAGACCGAGAAGGCAGGGATCCCCCCAATGCACACGGACGACCCCGGAGGTTCGCGCAAGACGCACCCACTGGCCCCAGACGGCCCCGGAGGTTGGCAAAAATACCAGCCTCCGGCCGCGGTCGGCCGCGGAGGTCGGCGAAACCACCAACCTCCGCACCCAACCGGGCCCGGAGGACGGCATTATCCCCAACCTCCGGCCCTGGAGGTCGGCGATGCTCCCTGCACCTCAGAGGGTGGGCAGAACCCCCCCGCCTGGACAGGAAAGCAGGGAGGCGGAGGAAGAAAAAGGAGGAGGGAGACGCCCGCCCCCTCCCAGGTCAGCCTAAGGCTGCCCGGCAGACGGCCGGCGTCAAGAGGGAGGGAGGAGGAGGAGGAGGAGGAGGAGGAGGAGGAGGAGGAGGAGGAGGAGGAGGAGGAGGGAGGAGGAGGAGGAGGAGGAGGAGGAGGAGGAGGAGGAGGAGGAGGAGGAGGAGGAGGGAGGAGGAGGAGGAGGAGGAGGAGGAGGAGGAGGAGGAGGAGGAGGAGGAGGAGGAGGAGGAGGAGGAGGCAGAGGAGGGGGCAGGACGACAAGCGCAGGGCGAGGTCACGTGCAGACATGCATGCAATCATTCTGCTCATCCCCATCCCCCGCATGCAATCCCTTTCTGGCGACACCGCTTGCAACAATCATGGCGTTCATAGGGGCCCGGTGCCGGACCGCCGCACCGCATAGGGTGTCGGCCGCAGTGGGCGGCGGCAGAGCAGGACGAGGCGGGCGAGGGCGGGACAGGGCATAAGGGAGGCACGCGCCCGCTCAGGCGAGACGCGCGGGCGAGTGCGGGAGGGTTGCACCCTCGCGGGGGTCGCCAGGGCCCCGCGGGCACCCGCTCAGCCGGCTGGCGCCGAGTGCGAGGGCGCCGAGGCCGAAGAGGCCAGGAGCTGCCGGGCCGGCTGGCGTGGTGCGACGCGCCCCTCGCCCGGCCTGGGGGCGGGTGGGGCGGCCGAGCTGAGCTCCGTGCAAGGGCCGAAGAAGGTGAGGAGCTCCTCGATGTTGCGCTCCAGGGCGGCGCGGGTCCCCTTGGCGACAATCTTGCCCTGGACCGCGTTGAGGAGCTGGACCGAGAGCTTGGTCCGGGGCTGCGTGGCGAAGGTGATCTCGAGGCCCGGCTGGGCCGTATCCCCCAGGATGGTCGCGAAGGGGGGCTCCGCGCCGACGAACGCTCCCGATGTACCTCCACCCCGACGGCGGGCGACCGTATGCAGGACGGCGATGCCCATAGCAGCCGCCGTGTTGTGGAGGTCGAGCTTCGACGCGATGCAAGAGGCGAACGCCATCCACGACGCTCTGGCCGCGAGCCCGCTCGAGGACGTTCCCTCTGAAACGCTAGCGACAGACGGGGGGGATCCCTGGCGAGGGGACGTTCTGTCGGCGCTCCCCTGAGAGCACCGGCCCCCGCGTGGGGGCGCGCGCGGGCAGGGCGGGGCACAGCAGCTCGCAGGAACGCCGACAGCAGAGCGATTGAGAACAGCACCACAACCACCGCCACCACCACCAACACAACTACGAACAGCACCTCCACCAGCACGACGACGACCACGACGACCAGGAGGAGGAGGAGGAGGAGGAGAAGGACCACCACGACCAGCACCACCACGGCCAGCACCACCACGGCGACCAGCACCACGGCGACCAGCCCGACCAGCGCGACTACGGCCAGGAGGACCGCCACGACCACCACCACGACCACGGCCAGCACGACTGCTGCCAGCACGACCAGCACCACCACCAGCACGACCAGCACGACCACGGCGCCAGAGGACCACCACGGCGACCACCACCACGAAGACCAGCACCACCACGACCACGGCTGACACCACCACAGCGACCGGCACCACCACGGCGGCCAGCACCACCTCGACCAGCACCACCACGACCAGGAGGACTACCACGACCAGCACCACCACGGCGACCAGCGCCACCACGGCGACCAGCGCCACCACGGCGACCAGCACCACCACGGCGACCAGCACCACCACGACCAGCACCACCACGGCGACCGGCACCACCACAGCGACCAGCACCACCACGACCAGCACCACCACGACCAGGAGGACTACCACGACCAGCACCACCACGGCGACCAGCACCACCACGGCGACCAGCACCACCACGGCGACCAGCACCACCACAGCGACCAGCACCACCACGACCAGCACCACCGCGACCAGGAGGACCACCACGACCAGCACCACTACGGCGACAAGCACCACCACGGCGACCAGCACCACGACTACGCACCGCCACAATGACGAGCACCACCACCAGCACCACCGCGACCAGGAGAACCACCACGACCAGCACCACTACGGCGACACGACCACGGCCACCACGACCACGACCAGCACCACCACGGCGACCGGCACCATCACAGCGACCAGCACCACCACGGCCAGCACCACCACGACCAGGAGGACTACCACGACCAGCCCCACCACGGCGACCAGCACCACCACGGCGACCAGCACCACCACCACGACCAGCAGCGCGACTACGCACCACCACAGCGACCAGCACCACCACGAGCAGCACCACCACGACCAGGAGGACCACCACGACCAGCACCAACACGGCGACCAGCACCACGACAAGCGCGACCACGGCCAGGAGGAGCACTACGACCACCACCACGACCAGCACCACGGCGACCACGACCACCACGACCACGGCCAGCACGACAAGCACCACCACCACCACGACCAGCACGACCACGGCCAGAGGACCACTATGACCACCACCACCACGACCAGCACCACCACGCCCACGGCCAGCACCACCACGGCGACCGGCACCACCACGGCGACCAGCACCACCACGACCAGCACCACCACGACCAGGAGGACCACCACGGCGACCAGCACCACCACGGCGACCAGCAACACCACGGCGACCAGCACCACTGCGACCAGCACCACCACGACCAGGAGGGCTACCACGACCAGCACCACCACGGCGACCAGCACTGCCACGACCAGCACCACCACGGCGACCAGCACCACGACTACGCACCACCACAGCGACCAGCACCACCACCAGCACCACCACGACCAGGAGAACCACCACGACCAGCTCCACGACCAGCACCACCACGGCGACCACCACCACGACCAGCGCGACCACGGCCAGGAGGACCACCACGACCACCACGACCGGCACCACCACGACCACGGCCAGCACGACCACGGCCAGCACGACCAGCACCACCACCACCACGACCAGCACGACCACGGCCAGAGGACCACTACCACTACCACCACGACCAGCACCACCACGCCCACGGCCAGCACCACCACGGCGATCAGCACCACCACAGCGACCAGCACCACCACGACCAGCCCCACGACCAGGAGGACCACCACGACCAGCACCACCACGGCGACCAGCACCACCACGGCGACCAGCACCACTACGACCAGCACCACCACGGCGACCAGCACCACCACGACCAGCACCACTACGACCGGCACCACCACGACCAGGAGGACCACCACGACCAGCACCACCACGGCGACCAGCACCACTACGGCGACCAGCACCACTACGACCCGCACCACCACGGCGACCAGCACCACCACGACCAGGAGGACCGCCACGACCAGCACAACCACGGCGACCAGCACCACCACGGCGACCAGCACCACTACTGCGACCAGCACCACAGCACCACCACGACCAGGAGGACCACCACGACCAGCACCACTACGGTGACCAGCACCACCACGGCGACCAGCACCACTACGACCAGCACCACCACGGCGACCAGCACCACCAGGACCAGGGGCAGCGCGGCGACTAGCAGCACCACGACTGCAGTCAGCAGCACAGGAGGAGGAGGCGGCGGCGGCGTCGGAGGCGGCGGAGGAGACGCTGGCGCTGGCCCGAGGCAGCGCGGCGGCGCGGAGGGCGAACGCACCGCCGCGAGGCGCAGCGCCGCCGCAGGTTCGTTCACGGGCAGAGGGGGGAGGATTCAGCCCTCCTAAGCCACAACCCTTTGCCCAGCGACCTGCGGCGGCGGGCGCAGCGACCAGCGGCGGCAGGC